AAAAAAATTTTCAGGCGAATCAAAATTTTGATTGTAAATCTGATATGGAATGACCCATATGTTATATATAATACTTGAATGGTGTTATTGCACATTATATATATACATATAACATATTATTATACATATATTAACTTTATTGTATTTAAAAAAACATCATTATACGAAGATATATTATCATTTACATATATTATAAAAAAAATATACTAAGAAGCAATTTTCTTCGAATTTTCAATTGAAACAAAAGGTAGGAAACCTAATATGGCAAAAACTAAATCCAAAGTATATAAATGACAATTGAAAACAGATGGTAGGAAAAAAGTTAATTTCATTTTTTGTCATATTAGGAAACCTTTCCTAATATGGCAAAAAATGAAATTAACAATACTGAAATCTTTCTAATTAGGGAAATAAAAGTAAAACAAAATCAACAATACTGAAATCTTTCTAATTAGAGAAATAAAAGGATGGAAACAAAAGGTAGAGAACCTTTTATAATAAATTAATTATATTCTTCCTCATTTTCATTTTGTTTTCCTTTCTCTTCCCTCTGTTTTCTGTTTCGCGAAACGTATCCATTCTGCGACTATACTGTCAAACTCAGCTTCTGTTAAAGTTGAATGTTGCAAAGTAATTTCTCCTGAAAAAAATAATATAGAATTAATAATATAAAGACGAAGATTTCAGTTCAATTAATATTAACAACACGTAAAACATACTTCTCATAATTTTAATAAAATATAAGTTTGATATTTTAAAGTTATTCCGAATGCCTTTCCAAGAGCAACTTATCGCGCACTCATTTGTAAATATTTTGGTCAGAGTGCGATGAAGATGATCTTTAGGATTGTTTCCACCAATTTTTAACAGAAAGTTCTTCTATAAAAAAACAAAATTTGGAAAACTTTCATTTCATTACAGTAACACTATTTCATGACAAACTAACATTGCTATTAAAATAATTGAATTTTGTACTTGTGTGTAACAAAGATTTATCATATAAGTGATAAATTAATGTATATACTTACGAAATGCATAACTGCTTCATCAGTGTCACGTAAGAAGGAATCAAAATTTTGTATGCTCTCAACCGTACATAAAGGTAAAATTTCTGCGATAAGACTATCGCTGTTATTTGTCGAAACAGAATCACGGCTTCTCAAAGCATCCTCCATTCTGCTCATCCGTTGTTTAATATCCTCTAGTGTTAAATTGCACGTTGCTTGCATTCGTGTTATTTGTTTCAGGTACTCTGCAATAATTAGCAAAAGTATTACATATAATATTATAAATGTAATAGTTCATCTTCTAGATGCGTATACATATATACACACACACTTATAAATGCATATTATTACACACACACACACACACAAACACATACACACACAGAAAAATGAAAAACAGGAAATTTTGCATACGCATTATATTTTAGATAAAATATTTGCACGTTTCAGGTTACATTTGTAGTTTCTTACCTTTCCACATTCAAAATAGATGTCTGCTAAACTTATCTAAAAGGTAGCAATGGTAGCAATTACATCTTCGTCCTTGGAATCTCTGTACTTCGCAACATGTTCCTTGGCAGTGGCAATCCAATCGTAATCGATTGGTCTCAATGATATACGACGACTCGTGACTGTAACAAGATTTATATTAACTCATCAATGAAACATTGTCTTCTCTTAATTACGATAAATGCTAAATTATTATAATGGTTAACATACTAGTTCCAGCAAA